AGTCACAGCTTACCGCAACCTCAAACTCTTGGGCTTAAATGATTCTCTTGCCTCAGCCTCCCAAGTAGGCTGGGACTATAGGCACCTGCCACAAAGCCTGGCTATTTTTTTGTTGCAGTTGTTTAGCTGGCCTGGGCTGGCTTCAAACCTGCCACCTTCGGTGTATGTGGCTGGCCCTGTAACCACTATGCTATGGGTGCTGAGCTACATTCTTTTTCTTTTTTTTTTTTCTTTTTAGAGACAGTCTTACTTTGTTGCCCTCGGTAGAGTGCCTTGGTGTCACAGCTCATGGCAACCTCCAGCTCTTGGGCTCAGGTGATTCTCTTGCCTCAGCCTCCCAAGTAGCTGGGACTACGGGCAACCACCACAATGTCCAGCTATTTTTTGGTTATAGTTGTCATTGTTTAGCGGGCCCAGGCTGGATTCGAACCCACCAGCTCTGGTGTATGTGGCTGGTGCCTTAGTCACTTGAGATACAAGAATGGAACCTGCATTCTTTTTATTATTATAGAAATGGGAATAAAAAGGCTCAGCACCTGTGGCTCAAGTGGCTAAAGCGCCAGCCACATACACCTGAGCTGGCGGGTTCGAATCCAGCCCGGGCCCACCAAACAACCATGACAGTTGCAACCAAAAAATATCTGGACGTTATGGCAGGTGCCTGTGGTCCCAGCTACTTGGGAGGCTGAGGCAAGAGAATTGCTTAAGTCCAGAGTTGGAGGTTGCTGTGAGCAGTGATGCCATAGCACTCTACCCAGGGTGACAGCTTGAGGCTGTCTCAAAAACAAACAAACAAAAACAAAAGGGAATAAAAACAACCAGGGTCTGCTCGGTGCCTGTGGCTCAAGAGGCTAGGATGCCAGACACATACACCAAAGGTGGTAGGTTCAAGCCCAGCCTGGGCCTGCCAAACAGCAATGACAACTACAGCCAAAAAATAGCAGGCATTGTGGTGGGAGCCTGTAGTCACAGCTGCTTGGGAGGCTGAGGCAGTAGAATCACTTAAGCCCAAAGAGTTTGAGGTTGCTGTGAGCTGTGACACCACAGCACTCTACCAAGGGTGACATAGTAAGACTCTGTCTCAAAAAAAACCCAAAAAACAATCAGGATCTATATACCCAAGAGTGTGGCTTGAATGTATTAGCTACCACAAGTGCTCTACTTTTGGCTATTTGAGTGCTCAAAGCAGCATAAGAAACCAGTGGATTATTTACTATTCTTCCATAAGCCACAGTTTGAGGAATGGGAACTTTTCTACCAATTGGATGTGTATGGAATGCTTAAGGTTTAGCTAAAACATTAATGCCCTCTCTGCTAATAAGCTGTCTATGAAATGAGGACCCGTAAGATCATCTGACCTGCCTCTTCTTTGAAGATCAACAGGAGAAAGTACATGAAGCCCTACGAGTGTAACATAAAATGAAACAGATAGAAGTGGTTTTGTTAGTTTCCCATTATTCTTCCTCTTCAGGAGTCCCGACCTCTACATGTTGTACTAGGAAATGAAGCCTGCGACTTGGACTCCATGGTGTCTGCTCTTGCCCTGGCTTTTTACCTAGCAAAGGTGAGTATCAGGCTGAGGCAGGAAGATTGCTTGAGCCCAAGAATTTGAGGTGAGCTATGATGATGCCACTGTATTCTAGCTGGGTGACAGACCCAGACCTTGTCTCAAACAAACAAACGAAAAGCAAAAACCCACAAGTACCTGAGTCCCTTAGAATGCAAAGATTTAGATTCATAGTGGTTAGTGACATAGCTCTGTCACTTACCAGCATTAGCGCTCAGTAAGTTAAATCCCTTAACTTTGGCTTGGCACCTGTAAGTCAGTAGTTAGGGCGCCAGCCACATACACTGGGCCTGGTGGTTCGAACTTGGCCTGGGCCAACTATAACAAAAAAAACAACTGGGCGTTATGGCAGGCACCTATAGTCCCAACTACTTGGGAAGTAGAGGCAAGAGCATCACTTAAGCACAAGAGTTTGAGCTATGACTCCACAGCATTCTACCAAGGGTGACATAGTGAGACTGTGTCTCAATAAAATAAAATAAATCACTTGGCTCAGCACCCGTAGCTTAGTGGGTAGGGTGCCAGCCACATTCACAGAGGCTGGCGGGTTCAAACCAGGCCTGGGCCAGCTAAAATCAACAATGACAACTACCAAAAAAAAAAAAAAA